GAGCCTGATGGGTGTCAGGGTCAGTCCAAGTGAAAGTGAAGAGAGGCTGGGATGAGTGGTGCAAAGGAATAGTAAAGAAAGTTATGTTTGAGATCTAGAACAGAATAATGAATAATGGGTTGTGGAGGAAGGTATTGAGTATAGGAGAGTATATGGGTTTGGCACCATGAGGTGGATAGGCAAAACAATTTTATTGATAAGGCGTAGATCCTGAACTAACCTGTAAGCCTTGTCTGGTTTTAGGACAGGTAAAATGGGGGAATTGTAAGGGGAGTTTACAGGCTTTAAAAAGCCATGCTCTAACAGGTGAGTGATAACAGGCTTTAATCCTTTTAAGGCATGCTGTGGGATGGGATATTGGCGTTGAGTGGGGTAAGGGTGATTAAGTTTTAATGAGATGGTAAGGGGTGCATGATTGGTCTCTAAGGAGGAAGTAGAGATATCCGATACTTGTGGGTTAAGGTGGGGAGACACAAGGGAGGATGCGAAGGAGGCTTTGAACTGGGGGAAAAGGCGGCAATGAGGTGTGGCTGTAACCTAGGAATAGTCAGGGAAGCAGATAATTTAGTTAAAATGTCTTGGCCTAATAAGGGAACCGGGCAGGTGGGGATAACTAAAGAGTGCATTAAAGAATGTTGTCCAAGTTGGCACCAGAGTTGGGGAGTTATAAGAGGTTTAGAAACTTGGCTGTCAATACCCACAACAGTTATGGAGGCAAGGGAAACAGGCCTTTGAAAAGAAGGTAATGTGGAGTGGGTAGCCTCGGTATTGATTAAAAAGGGTACAGATTTATCTTCCACTGTGACAGTCACCTAGAGTGTCTGGGATGGTCCTGTAGGCTTCCGAGGTGATCGGGCAGTGTCAGTCTTCAGCTGCTAAGTCGAGAAGATCTGGGAAGGAGTCAAGAGAGCCTTGGGCTAGAGTTCCAGGGGCTCTGGAAGTGGCTGCCAGGTGAGTTGAACAGTCCTATTTTCAGTGGGGTCTCGCACAGATGGGACATGGTTTAGGAGGAATCCTGGACTGAGGACATTCCTTGGCCTAGTGGCCAGATTTCTGGCACTTGAAGCAAGCTCCTGGGGGAGGATGTTCTGGAGGAATCTCTGGCAGCTGCAGCTCAGGCGTTTGGAGTTCTTGTGTGCTGGAGATGTGACTGGGGTTTCTCTCACAGTGGAAGCAAGGAATTGCAACTCAGATATACATTGCTACTTGGCTGCCTCTACTTTATTATTGTACACCTTGAAGGCGAGGTTAATTAAGTCCTGTTGTGGGGTTTGAAGGCGGGAATTTAATTTTTTGGGTTTTATTTAATGTCGGGAGCAGATTGGGTAATAAAATATATACTGAGAATAAGACGGCCTTTTGGCCTTTTAGGGTCTAGGGCTGTAAAGTGTCTCAGGGTTGAAGGTTGCTGCTAAACGAGTCATGAACTGGGCTAGGTTTTTCATATTTGATGAAAAAGAGCCTAAACGCTAACTGATTTGGGAGAGGTCGGATAAAGAAAAAGGAGCATTAACCTTCACTATGTCTTTAGCTCTAGTCACCTTTTTAAGAGGAAATTGCTGGGCAGGTGGGGGAGGGCTAGTCGAGGAACGAAACTGTAAGCTAGACAGGGTGTGAGGATGGGAGGTGATAAAAGGATTATAGGGTAGGGGAGCAGAGGCTGATGAAAAATTGGGACCTAGCTCAGCCTGGCAAGGACAGGAGAGGTCAGATGGGTCTGTAGAAAAGGAAGATTAGAAAGACTCAGCGACACTTGGGGTTGGGACTGAGGGGACAGGCGGGAGGGAAAGAAGGAAGATTTGGAACGATTTGCATTGGTAATAGAGACTAAGGAGGGACTGATGTGTAAAAGAATGCCTGGACATCAGGCACCTCAGACTGTTTGCCCATTTTATGACAAGAATTATTTAGATCTTATAGGATGGAAAAATCGAAAGTGCCGTTTTCTGGCTATTTGGAATTACCGTTGAGTTTGTATTGGGGTCAAGCCGCACTGTAGAAGAAAAAAAGGCATTTAGGTTTTAGGTCAGGTGTGAGTTGAAGAGGTTTTAAGTTCTTGAGAACACAGGCTAAGGGAGAAAAAGGAGGAATGGAGGGTGGAAGGTTGCCCATAGTGAAGGAGGCAAGCCTAGAGAAAAGAGAGAGTAGAGACACGGAGAGAAGGGGTTGGGGGGGGTTCTTGCCCTCCAGAAAAGTGAGAAAGGGGTCAAGACATGGAGAGAAGGGGTCAGGAGGTTCTTGCCCTCCAGAAAAGCGGGAAAGGGGTCGAGACATGGACATAAGGGGTCAGGGGGTTCTCGCCCTTCAGAAAAGTGGGAAAGGGGTCGGAAGGTTCTTGCCTCCCAGAAACGCAGAGGATGGGTAGAGACAGGGAGAGAAGGGGTTGGGGGGGGGTTCTTGCCCCCCAGAAAAGTTGCACTTGCCACTAAGGGTGAAGGACCAAGGCAGACATCCCTACATGGTCAAACACCTCTGAAATGTGGGTGAATAATCAGGCAGGCATCCCCGTGTGATTTAAACACGTAGGGAAGACTGTCTTCCAGAGTCCGTGACTGGCGCCCGAGTTTTGGGTCCATGGATAAAAAAGTGTCTCGTCTCTACTAGAAAAGGAAAGGAACTGAAATTAAGAGAAGGGAGAGATTGAAGTATGGCGCCAAGATTGAAAGGAGAAAGAGGTTGAGGGATAGTGAGAGAGGTCAGAGAAGAGAGCAAAAAGAGGCCGCTTACCGGATTTAAAATTGGTGAGATGTTCCTTGGGCTGGTCGGTCTGAGGACCCAAGGTGGATCTTTCTCACGGAGCAAAGAGCAGGACAGGGGATTGATCTCCCAAGGGAGGTCCTCCGCTCTGAGTCACAGCACCAAAATGTCATGCGCGTCCATATGAAGGGACCACCAAACAGGCTTTGTGTAAGCAGTAAAGCTTTTTAATCACCTGGGTGCAGGTGGGCTGAGTCTGAAAAGAGAGTCAGCGAAGGGAGATAGGGTTAGGGTCGTTTTATAGGATTTGGGTAGGTAAAGGAAAATTACAGTCAAAGGGGGTTGTTCTCTAGCAGGCAGGGGTGGGGGGTGACAAGGTGCTCAGTGGGGGAGCTTTTGAGCCAGGATGAGCCAGGAAAAGGAATTTCACATGGTAATGTCATCAGTTAAGGCAGGAACGGGCCATTTTCTCTTCTTTTGTGGTGGAATGTCATCAGTTAAGGCAGGAACCAGCCATCTGGATGTGTACGTGCAGGTCACAGGGGATATGATGGCTTAGCTTTGGCTCAGAGGCCTGACACTACAGAATGTGTATAGGCTATATGCAAATACTATGCCATTTTATATAAAGAACTTGAACACTGGTTGGGGTGATGTTCTGGAACCAATACCCCATGGATACGAAGGACAACTGTATATACACATGCATATATAAACTATTTATTTACAAGGCCAGAAATTGTTGAGGGTGCCCAGCACAGTAAGTGGTACGAAGTAAGTTATAATAGTTATATTAGTGTTGCCTTCGTTGGTGGTGATTTGGAGACTCTATTCTAGGTGGGTACAGCAACGGAGAGTTTGGTCCAGTTTGTCTAGGGTCATGGTGGTGAGAAACAGGACACAAGCCTGAAAGGATGATTTGGGGCTTTCCTTGTTCTGTTAAGGCACCGGATTATATCAATGCTGTGCATCTGAATGTCAATTTGGAAAGCCAGTCCTGTGCTTCCAGAAACAGGATATTTAACACCTTGAAGAGGTGTGGTAATTGAACATTTTACTTCTTAGTAAAATGTTTTTACATTTTAGGGAGTCTACGGAGAGTGGGGCTGAAAAGTTTAGGAAGAACAAGTAGGCATGTGGGGCGGGCAAAAGAACAGAAACAGCATGCACATACATTTTTCCAGGAAAATTTTAGGGAAAGCTAAGTGATGTAAAGTTACACTTAAAAGACTACACATTTTCAGCCGGGCACAGTGGCTCACACCTGTAATCCCAGCACTTTGGGAGGCCAAGGCCTGTGGAACACGAGGTCAGGAGTTCGAGACCAGCTTGGTCAACATGGTGAAACTCTGTCTCTACTAAAAATTAGCTGGGCGTGGTGACAGACACCTGTAATTCCAGCTACTCGGGAGGATGAGGCAGGAGAATAGCTTGAAACTGGAAGCCAGAGGTTGCAGTGAGCCCAGATCATGCCACTGCACTCCAGCCTGGGCAATAAGAGCGAAACTCCGTCTCATAAACAAACAAACAAAAACTACACATTTTCGCACTTTAAGGGCTCAAGGGCTGTACTCCTACTCCTTTGCCACTCTCTTTGCTCTTCTCCGCTCTAGAAAAAATTAATGAACTGACTCAAATCTAAGTTCTCCACTTTACAGCTGGGAAGCCTCCAGGCCAAGGAGGCCAATGGTTACACAAACCAGGTAAGAAAATAAAATATGCCGAGTAATTTCATAGGACCGGAGGGCTTAGATTTCGAATGTGTGTGACTCTGTCAACTGTGGACTTAACCCTATGCAGAGATTAGAGTACAGAATAGTTAAACAAGAATAAAATAACATTTACCGAACAATCCGTCCTACCCTGGGGTAGGTTTTATTAACAGTCTCATTTTGAAAAGGAAGACAGCTGCCAGTTGTCCCAGATCGCACAGGCATACCGCGCAGATGGGCCTCTGAGCAGCTCAGGGCCAGCCAGAGGTGCAGTAAGAGGCGCGCAATTAAACGTAGGCGCTTCGGTTTCCTCAGGGTCCCCCGAGGCTCCGCTTCACCCAGGCGGGCCTCGGCTGGGCGGGGAAACCGGCTCAGAGTTTAGCCTCACCGTGGGGAGGGGCGAGGGAAGCCGGAAGCCCTTCGGTCCGGGCCCCGCCTCCGCCCTCGCCCTGCCGCGACTTCCCATTCACTGCCAGCCGATGTGCGTTGGCGACGTCATCGCGTTCACCGTCCCGGAAGTGCGCGTGGCGGCGGCGGCGACGGCGGCAGCGGGGCCGGTAAGCGGGCTCGCGCCGCTCAGAGGGGCAGAGTTGGTGGCGTGGGTTGCCGCCCCTTCCTTCCTGCTGTGGGCCAGGGGAGCCGCCGCCCTGAGTCCTCGAGGAAGGCGGGAGTGGGAAGTGGCCAGAGGCCTCCTCAGCACTGGGCATAAGAGCTCCGACGCGGAGGTCGTGTCCCCCGCCACGTTTCTGGCGACCGCAGGCGCGGATTCCTTGTCTTCCCTCCGCACTTTCCCCTCCGCGCGGACTGCCCCGAGACGCTTTTTCACTGGGCCTTGTCGCCAGCACCCGGCCTGGGGGGCGGGACGCGCCTTTTCAGGGCGGGGGTCCCCAGAGCGTTTTCCTGAGTTGAGGCGGAGGTGCACGGAAACTAAGTGGGTCCCACGTGGCCTGCTGGGAAGCGCAGCTCCTCCAGCCCGCTTCCGTGGAATGGAATGGTTTTTCTCTGCAGGTTTACACCGGGGCCACTGAAGAGCTGCTGCTGCCTCCTTATGGGCAGAACCCCTGTATGGGGGGAACGAGGATGTGATACGTAGAAGGGAAGGCAGGGTGTGCTGGAAATCAGAGGAGATTGCAAGATGACAGGAAAATAATGAGGAAAATGGCAGCAAAACTAATTAATTCATGGGAAAATACAATTCCTAGGCGCTATCCCAGGGTCATGAATTCTCCAGTGCAGGTGGGGAAGTAGGGTGATATTTGTGCCAAGTAATTTCATAGGACCGGAGGGCTCATGTGACACCTGTGACCATGACAAGTTCTGGAGTCCAGAAACTCGGGTAGCGTTTCTAGAACCCCGCACCCTTCACATACTGACTGAAGCCCTGCTCTGGGGAGAGTGCCATCACAGTACCATGTGGCATGCGAGTGTAGCGGTAATACTCCCCGACTGAACCGCCAAACCGAGGGTTAGGCTGCTTATTCTCGCCGCCCAATAACCAGATGCAGATAAACTAGGAAAGAAGGGAGTTTATTTATGTAACCAGGTACAGGGAGAAGGCCTGGAAAATATCCCAGACCAACTCAGAATTACGAAGTTTTCCAGAGCTTATATACCTTCCAAGCTACATGTGTATGTGTAAGTGTTGCATTCATCTAAAGACATAAGTGATTAACGAATTATCTATAAGATCTGCGTCCTGAAGACCTTCCTCGGGAGCCTTAGTAAATTTACTTAATCTAAATGGGTCCAGGTGCTGGGGTGATTACCCTTATATTCTCTACTGCTAAATCATGGAGGTTTGGGGAGTTCCCTCAGACCGCTAGTAAACTTGTTTGTGGAGGCCTGGGGAGTTTCCTCGGATCCCCAGTAAAACTTGTTTAATTCTAAACGGGTCCTGTTAAGAATTCCTTTGTGGCTGGGCGCGATGGCTCCCGCCTGTAATCCCAGCACTTTGGGAGGCCGAGGCGGGCAGATCACTTGAGGTCAGGAGTTCAAGGGCAGTCTGGCCAACATGGTGAAACCCTGTCTGTACCCGGAAGTGTAAAAAATTAGCCAGATGTGGTGGCGTGCGCCTGTAATCCTGGCTACTCGGGAGGCTGAGGCAGGAGAATCGCTTGAACCCAGGAGGCGGAGGTTGCAGTGAGCAGAGATCTTGCCATTGCACTCCAGGCTGGGCGGCAGAGGAGACTCCATCTCAAAAAAAAAAAAAAAAAAAAAGAATTCCTTTGTTATTTTATCATGCTTCAAGGTCCGGGAAAGTCTTAGGCAAAACTCTTGCTGGGCTTTTGTTACATTCCACCCTTGTTTAAGGGCACTGGCTAGCTTTTTCACCTTTTAATATGAAACTCAACCACTCAGTACTGAAACAGTTACTACGGAGGCCTGCGTTAGTTAGACCCCGCCTGCCACAGTAAGTGCTTCTGGAGAACAAAACCAGGTAGATACATAGATCTAGTCTTAATCCCTCAAATTGACACCTTTTTCAGTTTTTTCATCTGAACAAGAGATGTTTCTGAGTTGATAAACTTGCAATGTGTCCCTTTATTTTCCTTCACTTTCCTTCACTTTTAATTTCATTGGTATGCCTGTGTGTTTGCCTTGTAGACGTGTAGTTGGTGACCACCTCTCCAGATGCTGAGGTGCCTGTATCATTGGCACAGGCCAGTACTGAGCTGTAGGTGGAATAGGTTGTGCCTTCTGAAGCAGTATCTATTTACAATGAAGTTGCAGTCTCCCGAATTCCAGTCACTTTTCACAGAAGGATTGAAGAATCTGACAGGTGAGAGATTAGGATACCTTTTCTTGATCTGGAAACCTGTATAAATGGAGAAGTAGAGGGTTAACTTTTTAAGCCTACATTTGGATATTTTCTTTGTTGTTTTAATTATTTTTTAAGAAAAAAAAAAAATAAGTAGAGGGTCTCTCTGTGTTGCCCAGGCTGGTCTCAAAGTCCTGGGCTCAATCCTTGGCTTCCCAAAATGCTAGAATTACAGGTGTGATCATCTGTATGTTTTCATTGTTGGAAGAAAGGCTTCGCTGGGTATACCCAGCCTGTAATCTCTTGGGGAGGCCAAGGTAGGAGGATTGTTTGAGCCCAGGAGTTTGAGGCTGCAGTGAGCTATGATCATGCCACTCTAGCTTGGGCAACAGAGTGAGACCCTGTCTCAACAACAACAACAACAAAAAAATTAAAAGAAAAAAGAAAAGCTTACATATGGGTGATCCAAAAATATAGCTAAATCACTGGAAAAGGCAAGAAGTTGACTGCAATAAAAAGCATGGCTTTTCTGTATGCTGTGCTAAGTACTTTCCATACATTACAGGACTGGTCCTACTGACTTAATGAGTACGTACATTTTGACTTGTTATGTGGAAAAGGAAACATTCTTAGGCATGTGAAGTGCTTTGCCTGTGTTTCTGTAACTGCTAACTAGAGAGCTGGGTTTCAAACTTATGCAGTCTGATTTCAGAGCCCAGCTTGTAACCACCAAGATCTGTTTCTTTCCTAGGTATAAGTGCTTTCATGAGAACTGAAGGAAGAAGGAAATAGGAGATACCTGCATTGTGCATGTTGCAAAACCTGTCTGGAAGGAGCATAGGAAATGGCTTTAGCTAAGCACCTGACTCCAGTAGTTTCTTGCTGTTGCCACAGTTTTATTAGTATTGGTTCTTAATGTCATCTACTGATGTTGCTATAAAGCAGCCACACAGTAGCATTGCAAAGCCTATGAGAATTTTAGTAGCACCTTCATAAATATATTTAGTAGTATATGTAGAAATATGACCTAAACAGCACTGGCTATCTATTAGATTCACCTGGGGAGCTTTAAAACACATGCTGGGGTTCTACCTGCAGCCTACTGAATTAGAATCTCTGGGTGGGATGACCATCTATATTTTTAGTAAAAGCTCCACAAGTTAATTCTGATGCAAGAAGATAGACGAACCATTACTTTAACATGACTCACCTTGTATTAGCTTATTCTCAAAGCTACTTTCCTGTTCTTGAAATTAGATGATGGCTTTTTAGGTATGTGCCAGAGATAAATGGCCCAGAATATGTTGATTCTTTTAGGTTCTTTTAGGCAGACTTTAAGTAGAGGGCTTAAATGCAGGTTTGGTTATACCGATGCTTCACTGTCTTTTTTAATTGGAGAGAGTGAAAATTGCTAAAAATTCACTGTCCAATAGAAATTTATAAACCCATATGTAATATAAACTTTTCTACTAACCACATTAAAAAGATAGGAATGGTAAAATAAATTTTAATAATTATTTTTAGTACATCTAATTTAATCCAATATATATAAGATACTATCAGTATGAATTTTGTATAAAAATTGTTAATGAGACCAGGCACAGTGGCTCCCACTTGTAATCCTAGCACTTTTGAGTGGCTGAGGCAGGTGGATCAGTTGAGCCCAGGAGTTTGAGACCAGCCTGGGCAACACAGTGAAACCCCATCTCTACTAAAAATAGGCAAGCATAGTGGTATGTGTCTGTAGTCCCTGCTACTTGGGAGGCTGAGGTGGGAGGATCACTGAAGCCTGGGAGGTGGGAGGTTGCAGTAAGCCAAGATCGCTGCCACTGCACTCCAGCCTGGGTGACACAGACCATGTCTCAAAAAAAAAAAAAAAAAAAAAATTATTAATGAGATATTTCATATTCTTATTTGGAAGTCTTTGAAATCTGGCATGCATTTAATACAGCACATCTGAATTCAGACTCACCACATTTTAAGTGCTCAGTAAGTACAAGTGGCTACTGTTTGAATAGTGCAGCTTTTGAAGCTCTGATTTTGGGTTGAGTTGAAGCTTTTTTCTTTTTGTGTATGCCCTTCACAGCCCCCAGTTTTTCAACTTCAATTGCAAGAGGCCTCTTGGAAGAAGGAGTAGTAATTAACTCTTGATGGCCTAACTCAGGTCATTCTGCATTTTTTGGAAATAAGGTTCTAGATACTGATAACTCTAGTTACTTGAACATCATTTTAACAAGTGTGTTTGACTTTCTAAACCTGACATTGAGAACTGGATTTTCTCCACCCTGAGAAATAAGGTCCTAAGGAAGTTAAAGCCTAAATGGTATGGTAAGGTAGAGGTGGTGGTTGCTTTCAGAGTCCTGTCCTTGAAGGACTAGCAAATGAGAAGAACATGGATATATTCTAAAGTTGACTTTTTCTAGGCTACTGGAGAAGTGGCAAGAATGGAATCTTTTAGTGCAACGATTAACAAGTTAGAATGTCAAAGACTTGGGTGCCCTGGTAAAATGTAATGTTCTGTATAAAAACAAAGTGTACAAAAACACACAGCCTTTGTGATGGCTGCTGTATAGTGATATTGGAGTTTAAATCCTGTACCAATTTTCAAATCTTAATAGCTGCTTTGCCATGTGTAAAATTAGTTTTCAGTATGTAAGAATATGAGAGACTAGAATAGTGTATTGTCATATCATAAGGGTTTTATAATTTGTCAGGTTATTTTATGTATCTTTCTTTTTGCTTCAGGACAATCACATGCTAGTGGCATATAAGATTATTTCTCAGCTGGCTGCAGTAGCTCACGCCTGTAATCCCAGCACTTTGGGAGGCTGAGGTGGGAGAATTGCTTGAGCCCAGGAGTTAGAGACCAGCCTGAGCAACATAGTGAAATCCCATCTGTACAAAAATAATAATAATAAATTTAGCCAGTTATGGTGATGCACACCTGTAGTCCCAGCTACTCAGTAGGCTGAGGCAGGGGGTTCCTTGAACTTGGAGTCAAGGCTCTGCAGTGAGCTGTGATGGTGCCACTACACTCCAGCCTGGATGACAGTGAGACCCTCTCTCAAAAAAAAAAGATTATTTTTCTGTCCTAGAGATGAGGCTGAAGTTCCCAATGCGGATGATTTTTGCCTGAGCTAACAGCATTAATAGACGAGCAAGGACTTCTTTGGTCTGTTGGCTGTTGTCTATAGGGGGTGATAGTGCTCAGTGTTACGTGATGTCAGAAGGCCATCATATTAAAATTTAGCACAATAGGAACAACTGATCACTCTCTTGAAGTCCGGAACTCTTAGAACAGATGGTCTGTTTTCCTGTAGTAATGCTTACACCATGTCTTCCCACTCATAGCTCCCACTCACTGCCCCTTACCCCACCCCAGCCTCCAGTTGTCAAAATTCAAAGCTGTAAAGGGAAGAAGTTCATGAAAATTTAATTAAAAGTTAACATTAAAAAGAGGTGACAATTATAAAAGTTTTCTGACATTAATGTATGGTCTTTTGAATTGCTAATAAGAATGATTAACAATTGCTTTCTATTAGATGTGGCATTTGGAGCAAATAAACACAGTTTGGGGATGATGAGAGTCTGCATTTCTTGACTTGACTTTTAGCTTAAGTTTGCAGTTAAATTTGGTTGCATTAGGTGTTGTTTTCACTGAATTATTTCATTGAACGTAGCTTGCAAAGTCTTTTGAAATGTTGACTGCATCCCTGTTTCTGTAAGATTGAAGATACCAGTAACAGGAATAAATACATCTTTAAGGTTGATAGCCCCTGCTGTTTTAGGCCAATGTGAAATTATGCTTTTCTTATAATTTTTATGACTGCTCTTTCATATAGACAGATAAATATGCCTTGATATGTCTTTCTCAATTGTCTTAAATGTTATTTTGAAAATCCTGAATGGCAAGTTTTTTGGAGTGGTTTAATAACATAGGGCTAATCAAAATGGTGAATATATTACTTTGAGTTCTGGATCTCTTTGTAATGCAGTTAACATACTAACTTTGAATTTATCGTTTTATTTTAGTAAAGCCAGCATGAGAATCTTAAATCAATAGTTATCTATGTAAATTAAGCCTTGACCTTCTTCATTCCATTATTTATAGTAGGTTCAAATGAACGTAAAACTTGCCCTTTATTTGCTTGAATTTCAGAACAGCTACTTGATACTGTTTTAAGAAAACTTAAAAAATCCCAATACTTTCCAGTGAAGTCATTCTTTTTTTTAAATAGCTAGAATATCCTAATTCAGTTTAATTATGAGCCAAATTGGTATGAAGATGAATAAGATAGGTTTTCTACCCTGAGAAGTGGGGAGACAAAGACATAAAACAGGTAATTTTAATATAATTGGTATGTATAAAGATACGCTGTACTAGACTCTTAGAAGAAATTCACCTAACCTCACCTTCAGGTGAGGCTTCCTAAAGTGAATCACAACAGATAAGTAAGAGTGAGCTATATCAATGTTTTCCAACTGGGTAGTTACCTCTTAGTGGGCCATGAAGTCAATTTAGTGGTCATGACCTGTATTTAAAAAAAAGAAAGAATAGAATAGATTGCATGATATGAAGGGCAGATTTTCTTTTATGATACTTTTGTTTGCCATGTAGACATACAAATTTCAGTGACTGCTATGTGAATGTCTTAGCGTGGGTTATGGGCCAAGAAGTGTGACAGCCAGCCACTGAGCTAGCGTAAATTGGGGAGGTATTTCAGCGAAGTGACTCACACAAGCAAAATTATGGAGGAAAACTACGGGGAGAGTTTGGTGCAGACAGCTGGTGCAGGCAAAGTGTGATGCAAAGTTTAGCAAGAGATGAGACAAATAGGTCGTGGAAGCCTTTGGATATAGCACTGAGGAATTTGGGTACTGTGTTGTGGGTAGTTAAAAGGAGCAGTTAATGCATAGCATAATTAACCTGGTGTTTTGGGTACTGTGTTGTGAGTAGTTAGGACGAGCAGTTAATGCATAGCATAATTAACCTAGTGTTTTAGATCCCCAAGTCTGGATGG